ATATATATATACTCACCTACTATATATATATATATATATATATATACATGCGTTTCATGTAACAATTGCACAAGTACTGCAGTAGACTGGTGAACGAACCCTCTAAAATACACTGACACAGGGACTGGCAGTTCATACGCAAGTAGACATTTATATACGTTTGTTCTTCTTCTCGATAACTCAGTAAATACCACTGTTTGTAGAGAGACGCACCTGGATATATTTTAATGGCATTCTGATACACTAACGCCGGCACTTCTCGACGTAGAAACCGATCCATGCCGTCGGTCTGTCAACAGGGATAGAGGAATTGGTTTACGTCAACGTTCAGTGTGTACGTACAGCCACACTTGTAATGTTTGAACATCCTAAACGTTACTACAGTCAGAAGAATTGTTTCACGTCAACGTTCAGTGTGTACGTACAGCCATACTTATAACGTAACGATTGAATATCCTAAACGTTACTACAGTCTCTTATCCAATGCTGTTATATATAGTTATATAACCACGACAAGCACGTTCAGTGTGCATGTACAAACATGCTTATAATGATCGATTATTTAAACATGTTTGAAATTGTAGAACGTATGGGAGAGGCATTGGTGTGGAGACTATTCGCCGCGTCATTCCGAGGGTCAAACAGCTAATGCGGAACAGCTGTATTGAGCATGGACTACGACGATTCGGGGCAATATCCCTATCGCACAAGAAGCTTCAAGTATATATATATATATATATATAACCCCAGCCACTGCAATTCATAGGCCCTCGCGCCTCACATATGTTTAGATAAACAGCCACAACACACACAGATACAGAATATGCACACATACACAGTTACAGACATGGGACATAACACCATATAGACGTTCACCTACCTTCACGAGTTCCGTATCCACTGTATCTGATTCGTCGTCGCCCTCCTGCTCATCCTCCGTTCCGCTGGCGTCGCTATCCTCACTTTCACTGACCTCCATGGTGTGTGATGGTTTGTGCACACTCTTCTTATCTGCCATGTGTGCTTCTTTCCGTTGTTTATGTGCTTGTTGGGCGGGTGGTAGTAGGCTGATGATACCGTCCTTCTCCTCGTCGCCGTCTAATGCAGTCGCTTCCACATCCTCGTCGCTACAGTATTGTAGTGAAGAACGAACACGTTAATAACTTGTAGAAGAGTGGATGGAGAGTTATATATATATAATATATATATATGTGTGTAGACATCGTTATACAGAACTGCATTTTTGATTAGAACGATAAATCACATCTCTCGGGGAGAATAGTTTGATTAACATGATCGACAAGCATCGCACAATTGTTACGGACTCTCAGGACGGCAGCTCTGGTGACCCGTTCTAAGACTAGCTCCTCTCAAATATAAAATATAAAATGAAATCATATTTTTTTTCGAAAGTGTTCCCACCTCTGAAAATATACATACATACATACATACAGACACACATATATATTATATATATAGATCTATAAAAAATAAAATAAAATTATTCTCTGATTATTCCTACAGACACCCAACCCTCACAACAGATACACCAACACATTCCAACCGGATTGCCACAAGCAAGTATCCTACCCAACATCCATCGGCGTGCCGGTGTCGTCATCGTCTTCAGGTACGGGTAGTTTGAGTATCCTTCGTCTCAGAATGACCTTTTCGTGAAACATGTTCTCTAAGCGAAAGTACTCCAACCACAGCTCCTTTGATTTGCCGTTCAGACGCAGGCCGCGCTGAAAGAGCAGAAATGAGATGTGGCACACCGCAAATAGATATGAATATGAATGTGAAAATGAATATGAATACGAACACGAATGTGAATATGATATGAATACGAACATAATTGTGAATATGAATATGATATGAATGTGAATACTAACATGAATATGAATGTGAATATGCATATAAATATGCATTCGAGCAATATCACAATAATAGTGATACTATAAGTAGTACATAGATATGAAGAGACGTTTCGTATTTCAGAGCGTCTGTAGTGTATATCTGATTATTGCAATGGTTTAGGGTTTGGCCCACACAATCCCATGTGCAGCTTCTCCCCCATGTAAAGGCAGTCACTGACATGAACTAAACGTCACTGACATGAACTATACGTCACTGGCCTGTCCCACCCCTCAGCGATAAGTGCCAAAAGTGTACGTATGGCTACAAACAAGCACACAAGCACACACACTCAAACTTAGACCAGAAACGTACTGTCCCGTCCGTCAGGTGATACCCTAACGCTCCCACTAACGCACTGGCAGCAACCACCCACCCCCACAGCAGGCGCCGTACGTACAGGCACACCAACTAACTCACCTGCATCAACGCTCGCGCTGATTTGATATCGCCTCTCTCTTCAAACTCGTACTTTGCAGCCTCCACCCACAGCGCAGGCACTCGTGGGTGTATGGCCAAAGCGTCGGCCATGGCTCGCCCTAGCAACCGAGTGGATTCATTGCGTTTGCAGAAATCGAAGTATTGTACCCACAGCTTGGGATCGCTACGGGTTGGGATGCGGCGAGGGTATGTGTATGTATTAGTGCAATATCATATAAAATAATATATATATATATATATATATGCATATACATATATATAGATTTCGAAAGCGAGGTATACGCCTTGTGGTCTATTTCTGACGCAAATGCCCTAGATCGTAGGTGAATCACGTTTAACGTCTAACCGGCTGCACGTCCCATGAGTGCGTAGTGGACTTTACCTGCCGAACTTCCTGAGCAGTCTGCGATATATGAAATGCACCCGGCGGATGATAGAGTAGTCCGAGACCGCGTTCTTCTTCATGATACCTAAACGTTTCTTACGTTTTTCCCGCAACTGATTGAGATTCATCCTGGAGATCGAACATGTGGGAAATAAAGTTAAGAGGTATAGACGCCTAGAAGACTCTGGCAATCCGTGTGAGAAAGGGATTGAACAAACACGGGTGTAGGTAGGCATAAGCTCCACAAGACAAAAAGAGGTGTAGGCAGGCATAAGCTCCACAAGACAAAAAAAGAGGTGTAGGTATGCATAAGCTCCACACCATGATGACACCGCGCTGATGGGTATAGGTCGAAAGGAAACATCAGATGTGTGTGTCAAAGACAACGACACAGTACAATGTTCGATGTCTAGACCCCGTTCCCTGGAAGTCTAATGCTCAACAGTGGTCACCCTAACACTACATAGACAACCAGGGGTGATAGTAATATACACTTTGTGGTATAAGAATTTATGTGTATATGTTCATAAAACTCCCTAACACTACAAATACAACCAGGTCCGAAAGTAATAAACATTTTGTCTTAAAAGCATTGATATGTGTATGTTCATATATCACCCTAACACTACATAGACAACCAGGTGTAATAGTAATATACACTTTGTGGTATAAGCATTGATATGTACATGTTCATAGAACACTCCAACACAACAGATACAACCAGGGATGATAGTAATATACACTTTGTCTTAAAAGCATTGATATGTATATGTTCATAGAACACTCTAACACAACAGATACAACCAGGTCCGAAAGTAATAAACATTTTGTCTTGCAAGCATTAACATATGTGTGTTCATATATCACCCTAACACTGCACCGTGCAACCAGAGTGTGATAGTAATATACACTTTGTCTTATAATCATTGATATGTATATGTTCATATATCTGTGTTTACTTCACTATGCATGTCAACCGAGCGTCAACTAAATACATAGATAAACCAGCATCACGATATACACACTCGAGCACCAGAGACAGACATCATATATACGACTAAACAGCAAACAAGATCAGAAAACACGATCCTGTCCCTACGATGAGATAACATCAACTAGAGCCATAAATCGCACCAACACAATATGAAGAACCGTACGTGAACACAGGAATTAAAGTATAGCGGTCTTATTGTACACTTGCGCAGCCCCACATAGTACAGTGTAGATGCGAGCCTTGTAGGGAGTGCGAGTTCAAAAAAAGACCCAAAATAAGAAACGTATACCTGTGCGTGCATGA